CCACCCTCGGGTCAGCCTCTCGGACAGGGGGAGGGCTCTGAGGCAGCGCCTTGTTGCCCAGTTCCGAACTCGCCACAGCCGTGCCTCCCCGGAGCCCCACGCAAGCCACGATGGCAGTCGCGCCCACCAGGGACACCACCAGTGCCAAGGAGTCCGTCGCCACAATGGAGGTCCCGCCCATCAGGGACACCATCGGCGACAGGGAGCCCCTCATCGTCCTCGCCACGGTGGCACTCCCGCACACCAGGGACGCCACCGGCAACAGCGCACCCCTCGTCGTCCTCACCTCGACTGACGCCCTCGCCACCAGAGAAGCCCCCCGTGGCAGTATGTGCCTCACGTGTTGCTCCACAGTCAAGGCCGTCCATAAGCTCCACAGTGTCAACTCCAATGCCTTGCGCAGTTCGTCACAAAACCACCGTGTTACCTTTACGGACATGTAGTACCACCTCCGAAATGCTATTCAGTGCATCACGGTGATGTTGATAGAGCTTTTTTTAATTTGCAAGCAGGGTGCATAAAATGCCTGGAACAATAACAGAACGTTTTGTGGGTTATGTAGCTAGCCAACAGGGCATCTGGCTCGCCCTTGCAGGAAACGGATAACTCAATGAGGCTACTGGTGAGACCCGTTTTGCTTCTTTTACTGCAATATATTGTTCGTATCGGGTTTGGACATCGATTCATTTTCTCTACCCTTCAATTGCCCTGTTCCATTTTACAATCTATTATGGTTACCACAGGGCCAGGTGTATTACTCGATAATCGCATATTGGATTTGTTTTCAGTTTGAATGTATAAAGAAGACAACAAGCAGTGTCTTTGAAAGTGCTTTCCTTTTTTTACAACAATGCCGTAACATGAAAAATAAACATGTTTGAAAGCACAGGTTGCAATACTTTCTTTAAAATTGAGCATGGACTATTAAACACCGTATAAATTCTTTGTCATTATCCAGGATATATCACAGACATTATTTCACACTACACTTCACTTAATTCAGCACATTGCCATTTGGTGTGTGTTTTGTCACACACGGAAGCATGACAGATTCCATATAGTAGAGGTATGTTGAGATCAACAATGATATAAGAAAACAAACAAACGAAAAACACAGGGACACAGACAAAGGAAACAGGACAAAATGCACTCTTAACTGAAGTTTCTTGAAAATTTCACTTCAGTTGAGAGTGCACCTTGTCCTGTTTCCCTTCGGCTGCGTCCCTGTGTTTTTTTCGGCGCTTTTTCTGTTTGCAATGAACGAACTGGCCCAAATCTCCACTTTATTTCGATAAAAAAAAAATGGCAAACCCGGAGGCCAGTTTCAGGCGGGTGGCAAGTTGTGGCTAGAGTGCAGACCTCTTGGTTTCAAATAAAGAAAACCCGGGAGCGCCCAGGGCCGAGTCCTCGCCCACCAGCGCCAAAATACGTGAGTATGATGACGCCAGCGAGCGCACCCGGGCGCCTCCGCCCCCTGTTTGCCTGCGGGTGAAGGAAGTAATTCAATAGCTTGGTCCACACTATGAGTAAACTACGCAAATTACCTCGCCTGTTTCGCCAGCTCCGTAGCCCGCGCCCGCGCCCGCGCCTTCGACACCCGCATGGCCCAGTAGCGTTTCCAACCTTCCGGCTCCTTCCTTGGAGGCTTCCTTGGAGGCCCGAGGAAGTTGAGCTTGGAGGTTAGCTCGTTCTAGAGACGAACTTTGTCGTCTCTGGACAGCGCTGGGCTCAGCTCAGTTGCGCCGCGTACCAGAGAGGCCACATCCTCCTGTTTCTTGAGCAGTCATTAGCGCCAGTAATTTGAACTAGGCGCTCATCCGCGTCCCGCATGTTGTTCTAGCCTTTTATGCGAGTTTACTCTATCTAATATTTTCTGGAACCGCTACAAAATCAGTTGTTTATTTCAATAGAACACGTGTATATTTTTAGTTTGACAAGTTTCTTTAAAATAGAGCCGATGTGAAGGTCGCCGCCGCAAGGGATTGGCTGCCATCGCTTGACTAAAAGCAGAAAATGCTCCTCCGGTTGCCAGAGAAACGGACGCTTGCGTAGGGACTAGGTTCCAGATAGGTACCGCCGAGAAAGCGTAGGTACGGCAGGGGGACAGCGTAGCTACTTCCGCTCTGCGGGGGTTGGCTCTTGACGCCTCTCAAGTGAGTGACAGACGCCAATCTTGCAATGTCGTCACGGCGTCAAAGAGGGCGGTTTCGCGGTGCGCGCCGTTGCTTGGTTACGCTCCTCCTGCCGGTACGTCACTTCTGTTTCTGGTTTCTCGAAAGTCCAACATAGGTCCCCTGGTTGGTCAAGAGAGCATGCCAAGCCCTCTTTCCGAGTCTGATGCACGCCTTGGCGCTGCCCGCGCCTCCCATTGACCAAACTCTCTACATATGTGGCTCTGGAGTGCGAATGCTGCATCTACGTCTGCTCCTGCTCGTCGACGGGGTCGGCTGCGTAAGACTGAAGTCGAGATGGCGGAGACGAAGGCTAGGCGTGCAGAGGCGATGCGCCACAAGCGGGCCGAGGATTTGAGGACGCTATCGCGTCCCACTCTTAAAGGCGAAGCTTAAGCGTTCTGCGACATTTCTCGGCTCTCATTGGTTGGAGAGGTGATTGACGTGTGAAAGGTTGGTCGTAAAATTGTCGCACCATGCCATAATAGTATTTATATCGACAATATTTATATATTTGGGAAACAAATTATCTAGATATAGTCATTATTGTTTAAAGAAAAAATATCCCGAGTTTGCCTTTCCGCTTCGGTTGCGTGAATATTTTTAGGTCCAGCTTTAGTTGTACGTCATGACGCTCACTTATCTTGCTCGCTGATGCCATGCGAAGAAATAACAAGAACAGAAAAACTGGAAGGACTACGACGAAAATAATCCCTGGAGATAATCATAACCTTAAATTGCAAGCTTCACCCCTGTTCGTGTTAGTGGCAGCTAATAAAACCCCTTTCTCTACTGGCGTCTAACCCCTGGAGAAGGTGAACAAGAGAGACAAAGGACAAACACAAATAGGCGACTGGTGCGCGACCGAAAAAATCCGCCTGGTCCGGGTATCGAACCCATGACCTCTCCATTACAGGTGGAGAGCTCTACCAACTGAGGTAACCAGGGGTTAGACGCCAGTAGAGAAAACGGGTTTTATCAGCTGCCACCAGTCTAACACGAACCGGGGTGAAGCTTGCAATTTAAGGTTATGATTATAATGCAATTAAATGCCAGGGTGCAAGCGAGCTGGACAAGAATGACGAAAATAATCCCTGGAGAAAGGGAACAAGAGGGACAAAGGACAAACACAAATCTCCAAACACAGCTGATTGACTGGTGCGCGACCGAAAACATTTTTCTACTGACGTCTAACCCCTGGTTAGCTCAGTTGGTACAGCGCTCCACCTGTAATGAAGAGGTCCTGGGTTCGATACCCGGACCAGGCGGATTTTTTCGGTCGCGCACCTGTCGCCTAGCTGCGTGTGGATAGTTGTGTTTGTCTTTTGTCCCTCTTGTTCCCCTCCTCCAGGAATTATTTTTGTCATTCTTGTCCAGCTCGCTTGCAACTTTGTATTTAATTGCATTATAATCAAAAACAATTTGGAAGGACTTCATATTTATTTTAATGATATTTTTTTTTAAAGTCCTCTCGGTAACTTTTACCGCACTTTGACAGATGCCGACAGAGTCTTGCCTTGGACCGTGGCTCGTACAATATGGAACGCTAAAAAGCCGATTTCAAATCGCGTCTTGCAAGAGTTGCAGATGTTTTTAGACAGGGGAGGAATAGCAGACGGACGTAGGCGAAAACGGACGCCGACGCGCAGCTTTCATGTCCGCGTCTGGGCATTGCCGGCGACGATACACGGTGAAGGGGAATAGCAGACGATGCCGGAGGCTGACGCACGTTTCCTCGCACGGCTATCTGGCGGCGCCAGACTTCCAGGCTCGGCGCACCGGATGTCGGGAGAAGGGAGACAATAGGTTTCCGAGCATGTTCGGCCGAGTAACTAAGTAAATCCAGTAGTAATGGAAAAGGCCGCTTATTTGTGGGCGGGGCTTAAAACGGGCCGTGTACACACCTAAATTTACTATAGCGACGTAAATATTTCACCAACTTTTTTTTTTTTTTTTTTTTTTCGTGCAATATTATGAAAAACGACACGTGTCCAGATATGCCGTTCAAAGAAAAAACGTAGTTTTTTTTTCACTTCCGTGCTCTTTAATATGAAAGAGCGTAAGCGCATCTTGTTCAGCCTACTACATAGCTGCCACGTAGCGGAGAATCACCGAAGTGTCAACAAAATTCGTCAAAGAAGCCAGCGTGTCTACGCGATGTCATTGTTCTGGAGGTTAGTTATACAAGGCGAGTGAAAAGAATCGTTAGCCGTTTTATGGTATCGCATTAATCGGTTCCTTAACATGTCGTGCAAAGGTTTTGTATGCAGGTAGCCGATGATTGTATATTTCAAAGAGGGAACTTACCCGGGAAAAGAGTACAAAAGTACAAACCTGGTTAGGTGTCCTACGGACTTGGTCTGCTATCAAGAGGCGTTTGATTGGCGCAGAGGCAGACCGATAGGGGCAGGTAAGGGTGGGGCGGGTTCGTCGAGGTCTGTATAAAGCCCCTTCATGTTTCAAAAGTAGCGCAATGTTCGTCGATGCACGAGGCACGTGCCAAGTGCAGCCCTTGGGAAGATCATGGCGGCACAGCGCAGCACTGAGCTAGATTTCAGACGCCATGAATTTCCCAGAAGTGGCGCGCGGCACGTGCCTCGAGCATTTCTACAACAATAAATGACGCCACTTTTCCCAGTATGGAGGGGCTTTAGGTCTGTAAAAAGGGGACGTCACGGGCGAAGCGTTACACACATTTGTTTTGTTGACCTAATATCTGCCGTGGCTCCAAAAGCTAAATAATTCTACATCTTTTTCCTCAAAAAATACTGGTGTATGACGAGCTCAGGGGAAGGGTTACCGCCCCCTTCCCCTAATACTGCCCCTGGTCACAACCCGTTGACAAACAGAAACACACACAAAACGAAACATTAGGAGTCACGCTCCCTTTCAAATGCTCTTTTTGTGATTTTTGTTCTTGTTCATTCGTCGGGCGACGCTAGCTCCAGCTGATATGATTATCGCGTTGCCACGGGCGACTGTGCTCAGCTGCGAGAATGCCGCGGTTATCAAAACGGAAAACCGGGATACGTCTGCGAACCGAAGAAGCCCGTCGGACTTCGTTGCTTTCGGCGTGGATCGCAAACATCAACACAGGATGGCGGACGGGACGCTGCAGCCCGAGTAAGCTGCTGTCTGTTCTGCACTTTGAGCTTTTAATTCCCAGCCTGTAGATGATTAACAACGCACCCACTGTGGCGGTTGCTTTATGTGTTGGCAGAGTCAGCTGAAGTTTTAGCCAAACCTGTGGTCTTTCTTCCGTATATTCGTTGGAGTGTGGTGTACGCTACCCGTTGGTGGCGAAATTTATGGCGGTATACTGGTTGGTGGAGGGTGTGCCAATTATCTTTGGCTGATGTATAGAAGTTTTCCAATTATGTGGCGGTTGAAACAAAGGCTTTATAAAAAACACTTACAGAACCCGTAAGGTGAAACACTGCGACAGCTGAGACGTGATGTCAGAGCAGCTGTTTCGGACTAGCTGGACAGAATGCATGGTAAAGGTGGAAGCTCGCACCATAAGATCCGCATAAGCGTTTCGTATTAAATCGAGGAACACACCGGACGAAAATTTCATACCGTTTTGGAACCAAAAAGGGTGTATTAGTAGAGAATTTCAGCTGTCTGCGTAAGAGGAGAGCGTGTTTTGGCACGTCACTTCAGTACAATTAGTCGCACGTGCTAAACGAAAAGCGCCGAATAAACATGGACAAGGATGTAGACAATACGAAGTGCTTAATGTTTTGGCTAATTCTGGGTCACATGAAAACCTATCCCAGTTCACTGCCAGATTGCCCGGCAGGGATAGTTTTACTGACCATGCATATTATTAAGGCGAAAGACTTGTATGTCCCATTACGCGAAAAGGCGTCGGCGTTGTGCCCGAAAGATGGCCATAAAATACGTCAACAAGCACGCCCTGCTCAGGGTCAAAGCGGACGCGCCTCTGAAATAAAATACAAAGAAAACCATAACAACGCAGATGACTCGTCACGGAAGCCGTGAAGCCGGCGGTGGCACCGCGCCTGCGCAGTAGGAGAGCGTGATGTCACCGCTGGAGCGCCGTGTGCGATAGGTGCGCTTCGGACTTCATCTGTGCTCGTTGTGTGCTTCGTGCAATGGACTGTGAGGCGACCGCACGGGACTATAATGCTTTCGCATTCCTACGCGTAAGCAGTCTTACAGTGTCCTCCTGTAATTTCTTGCCTATCTTGCATGACCATGCACGTTATCTTGCTTGCTATCTGGTTATCAGCGGCCCGTGGAATGTTTTTGGCGGGGAGCCGAAAATGGCCGGCGTCCATGTGGAACACGGTCGACGGCTCGAAACCGCGTGGTGTTCCACTAATGGCTGTCGCCGTAAATCGCTGTGATATCGCTGCAAAGAAGCGAAAATAGCTTTGGCACTAACATTTTGCTGGCAAAACTTATTTGGCCCAAGTTGGGCACACAGGATTGGCAACCTTGGTCTAAGTTCTGCGTTGACCTAGTGTGCTGCCCAGGATTGTAAATACCATCCTAAATAATTTTGATGTTAAATGGAAAGTTGTAGATTGGGGGGCTTTGCAAAACAGCATACTAAGTTGGTTAAAAATGGTACGTTTTGAGCTCTGATTTTGTTTCTGCCTAAAACAAACAGAAAATAAATTGACAACGCGCCTCTTCTAATTACGACTCGCGATCAAGTGGCTTTCTTTTGGGGCTGTAGAAAAGCACAGAAATCGTGTCACTCGGGCCTTTACAGGGCGCTCTATGGCTTTCCAATTGATGAGACGGCCATTGGAAACATTCGGAGAGTTAAATAATTAAGCGTAACAATGATTAAACTAGGCTCACTCAACAATGTACTGGCCCTTTCGCAAGACGATTGGTATCAAAACACGGCTGGTATCCTTCGCGGAAGGTGAGTTTTTTTGTAGCCTTCGCGTATGTTGAGACATTCGGTGTATAAAAAATTTCACGTTTTAACGCCAGCTGAATCTACGTGTTTACTAATTACCGGAATGCAAGACTACCAAATGCCACTCCTTGTCGTCATGTTCTGTCCACCTTCGCTGTTTTTTAGGGCCAAAACAGCTACGGTGTGCTACCTAGTATCTTGAGAAATATGTAATCCTCAATACAACATTCGGCGTTTTTTTTTATAGGCTCAACATTTCTTACCGTGAAGTGAAGGGATTCACCGGGCTAGGCGTGTGTGTCCTGAGATTTCCATACCAGGTGCCGGACCACGCAAGATGTAAACATTGCAACTGCATTCCGAGAAGAATCTATCACCTTCTGTGCTTTCGCCATGGCCTCTGTTTTCACTGCAGAAAAGATTGCGATGGATATTATTGCGATGAATGTCGTATAGACATAACCCCTGAACAAGTAAGCAGATATGATTTTTGTTCGAGAGCTAGAGGAGAAGGGCGAGTTTATGAAGATGACTAACAACTTTTTATTTCTACATAAGAACCTTTGTGTAGCTTTATTCACTTTTACCAAAATTGTTTTCCTCTGAAGGCATTCCAAGAATCCTTACTCCCCGTCCTAATTTTCATGAAGTAGCGTAATTTTTAAAATTAAAATTAATAAGACAGGTGAGCAAATTATTTGGGGTTTATATGAAAAAAAAAATGAACCATAAGTTTCTTTCTGAGCAGATATGGCAAAATATAGAAAACTTGAACGCATCGCAACTACAAACGTTGTCTAGCTGTTTTCCCATTATTTTTGGTGGCGTTTGCCGGTTAAGGCAGCCGCTAAATCCTAATGTTCAGACGATATCATGTTATTCATTTATATTCTGCAAAATGCCTTATTATAAAATCAACCTGATATACGAAACGAGGCAAATAACATCAAATGTTGTTGTCATTAATTCTCCTTCCATACTATTAATGGTACGATTATTTTCTATCTGAAATACAAGTAAAGAGTAAATTCAGCCCTATGCTCGAGGTGGCGTTAGTGAGGCGTCGGAAAGATGCAGTGTAACTTCGCTCTTCCTACATGCATGCATCAGCGTGAGAAGCGGTCGGGTTTACTGACTGCAAGCAATCTTACCAAATGCAGAAGCAAGTGATCGTGATCAATTGTTTGGAGTAAACAATGCAAAGGGTACGCAACGCCTGGGGACGATAGTTATTTAACAACAGTGAACCGAGGGCTCTGGTAGATTACAAGCAGAAATATTTGAATATGATAAATACAAGATAATAAATAAAATGCCACAGACAACATTCTAGCCTTTATCCACCACAAAGAACCCTTCCTGTAAAAGTAATATTTTAAATTGCGTTTTCTTCCGCGAGCTTTTAGGGAGCGGAACATGTTGCACTTAAAATAAATTTGCTTGAATATCTATTCAGATTAACCAATTGGGAATATCGTGTTCTTGTCTGCATTGTTTGACGTATTGCTCTGTTTGTTATTTTGAAATGTCTTACTTTTAACAACCGTTGGTTTTATTCAAACTGTCTTTGCTTACACTAGACGTAAGTATTCGCTCACTTTTTTCTTGTCATCTATTCTTAAAGTGCAACTCCGGTCCATACTTTCGATTTTGGGATTATGACTGTTTTTAGCGCAGTCAGCGTCCCTGAATTGCAAGATGTATTTTTTTTTCTCGTTATTGTGCGTAGTTTTAAAGATATCGACGCTTCAAAGTTTTGTATGGGGCGCGGCCAACAAAACCGAAACTAGCCGCTCGAGGCCCCGGCAACACTAGAAATCAGCCGCTATGTGAACGTGACGTCAGGATCGTTCTCGTTCAACGAGTACGCAGGCCGAGCGGCACCTACCTCTGCTGCGCTAGCCGTCTAAAGATAGGAAGTAAGCTGATTTTGTTTTAATTCTGTATGCGTGGTAGTTATCCAGCATATGTAGCAAGAGTTAGTGCGTATACCCAAAAGCTAGCGACTTGAAAAGCCGTGAACTCGAACGGTGCCGTACTCGGCCGCCGCTGCCGTGTGTGCGCTATGCCGTACTCGTCGCTTGTATACCCAAAAGCTAGCGGCCGGAAAACGAGGGAACTCGTTCGCTGCCGTACTCGTCGCTAGGCCTAAATTGTCATCGGTGCTCCGTGGATGGAGCGGCGTTGCTCTACGCCGCGCTGCCAGTGACGTACAGTACTGGGGGCCCTCTCGCTTTCGCGCTTCGGGTCAGTCCCAGACACGAAGCTTTGAGGCTCTCCGGCGCGGGCCGCGACGCCCGAACACACGTGTGCTGGGCTGTACGCGTCTGTCTTTTCGTTCTTTTTTCCTCAAACGCCTAAAAGCGGAAGTCCACACTCCACTCGTCGAACAGCGTTCACCCACACCTTCTTCAATTTCCGGTCCGTTGAAAGCTTGTGAAAAAGCACCTCCTGGTTGCGCAGCGGGTTGTTTGAGCAGCCCACAGCGCTACAAGTTGCACTCGGCATCTTTTGAGGAACAGCTGGGCAGTCTTAGGCGCACCGAGTTGCTCGCTAAAACGAGTCTTGGAGTCCTCACAAGCAAATAAACAAAAGGCTACACCAAAGCTACACGGGCTACAGATAAAAGCAACGGCTAAACACGCCAATCACAACCCGAAGTAGCGGTGGTAACGGCTCAAAGAAGCGCACGCCGTGCACCGCTCGGACCGGAGGAAAAAAAAAAGAGAACGATACTGACGTCACGGCCCAATGTTGCTTTAGCGATCGAAAACCCGCTGATTGCCCGCTAAAGAGCAGCGGCTCGCGGCGGGTCGCATTTTTATTATCGGCGTTAGTTGAGAATGCGGCGTCCCACGGACGTAATATTTTGGCTGGGGTCGTATTTTGTGTCACTACAGCGATACCAGTAATTTATTTAATTTTGAGTTTTGGCCGGAGTTGCCCTTTAAGTGTGATCTATTTGGCAGGTGTGTCATATTGAAAGTATAATTTGGTTAACGGGCATTTTAATCGATATATATGTGGGAATTTTGATTTACGGCAATAATTAAAATAGAAAAAGTTTCTCCCTGGTTTTTTTCACTGCTGAGAAAGTCCTGGGTTGAGACTAATAGTATTAATGAACCAATAAAATTATTTTCAGCTTGGCGCTCTCCGCTCAGATTACAACCTTGATGGTATACTGCTGAAAGTGCTATGTGGCGTGTGCGACAAGGAACTTCCCCTTGGAGAGCTGGAGGTAGGAAAATACCAAAAACGGTCCGTTGTAAATCTATGGCGCGTCAACAAAAAAAAAAAAAAAAAAAGATCTCAAGGAATTTAGGTGCCCGATTGGCGGGTGGCGTCAGTGTTGTCCAAAACTTAAAGATTACGCCATATTTGAAAAAAACAACAGCGAAATGCTCAAATTTTATGAGTTATTCTACTCTTGCGAACTTCTCGCAGGTGGCTGAATATAGAGTTTCCATTTTCTAAACTGTTACATTGTGAACAAAAACAAAGCAAAAAGTTCCTTAAAAATTGTTTGCCAATACAAAGTGTCAATTGCGTTTGGACAGTTTGTTTGTGGTACTTATCAAAGCGATACAACGCAATTATCCTCGCTTACATATAAAAGGATGAGTTTCTCCTAGTGCAAACTCCCTCCTCGCCCCTTGCTGGATGCCACAAGCTAGTTTCCAAGGTTAGCAACCAGGGACAGCTCTCGTTGTGAAGTACAGTCACGTTTCATCGCATAGACTTTGTGCATTTTTGCAATATTCGGCTACATATACTCAAACGATACATTGGCGTGAGCAGTTGCTGTAGATCAGCTGGATCATTTATGTGCCTTGTTTATAACGTTACAATGCATTTTAAACGAGATTAATGAACCGTATGGCCGAATCCGAAACATACCAAACAGCTATTAAAGTTTTCTAACAAAAAATATGAAAAGAACAGTGGTACAGCATGGTGTCCCCTTAATTACTCACCCGCCCTTCGGTCAGTCTTCATACAAAGCTGAGTATAACCACGAACCACGACAATGACCTCGCAATATAATCTAGCATCTCAATAACACTGTTGGCAACGCATGCATTTGAAATCTCGAATTTTTTAGGAACACCTGTGTAAGCACACTAATCAGGGTCGCATGGAGGCTTCAAAAGTTCAACAAACGGCAAATCAGGTAAGCGGTAATTTGAGATATGTTGACATATTAGAGGTGAAATAAACTAATTAAGGAGGGTTCTTGGCACTGGTTTAACGTACTGCCGCTCGAACTACAACGGCTTGAAATCTTGATTTCTACGACCGCAGCTATAGAAGTTCAGGGAACTAGATTTGTGGAAAGACATGCCCAGACCCTGGACGCGGAGCACCGTTTGGGCATAGCACGTTTAAATTTTTAAAATGTAGTGCGCCACAACTATGTCTTAGTTTGAAAACTACAATAGATAAGGAATTGGATCTATCGAAGGGATTTTATAATAAATACTGAAGATGAGGACAAACCAACTAGCATTCTACATTTCTAGAACCATTTAACGAGAGTATTGAAGCAATTATATCTTAAACAACACATCTTCAAAATAAAGCAATACTAGAAACTGGAGCAGAAGGACTGAACAGTTACACAATAAAATCTGGAAAACAACGTACAAAACAAAAAACAAAAATATCGCTTTTTGTTTTTCGAAGTGACTTGTCTTTAAGCTCCTCGTCTTTCCGAAAAGTGAATGTATAGTTTTTATGATCCCGTTAAAAAAGTCATGTAAATGTGCGTAATGCTTATAGTGTATACACGCAGGGATCAAGAAAATAGAAAATGCTAAAAAAGTTTAACAAGTACAATAAGTGGCATTACACCTGTGAGCAATCGCAACACCACCACGTTCTTTGTGCAATACCTATGTTCACTTTTCTCCTTTTGCGTATTAAAATTAGTGTTACTTAGCGCGGAGGTCGATATCTTCGATAGTAAAAGCTAATTTAAAGATGTCCAAAACACTCAGTTTAATTAATGTCAGTAGTTTTGTTTTGTGCTTGTGTTATTTTGTTGCTTTAGTATGTTTTAAGATAGAATGTGTGTGTACCGGCACTTCGGCTTCGACTGCTCCTGCACACAAGAAAGAAAGAATAATACGTGATATTATAATTGGGGTGACGCTATAAGCGTGGAGTGTCATTTCACTATTAATATATTACTTGATTTTTGTAATTTAATACTAAAATGTTGATACATTCCGACGCGTTGCGAAACGTTTCTTGGGGAAACAATTAAAATTAACTATTTCTTCGTTTACTCTGAGACTGTTTTTTTTTAGAAGAGCAGAAGTAACAGAATTCTGTTACTTCTGCTCTTCTAAAAAAAACCAGTCTCAGGGTAAACGACGAAATGGTTGACTTCCACCAGCTAGCCTTTACTTTGACTCTTTTCTAATTAAAATTAGTCGGGTGACGCTTTCTTCGTGTCCAGGGAACGGTATATACCAACATCTCTCTTATGAAACAAGCAAAACGAATATTTTGGCTGTTTTTTACGTTTTTAATTTGTATTACCGCAGTAGGTTCCTTGATGCCCAGTTATTCATTCATCCTTCAGACCTGAAATCTCTATGCGTACAAGCCTGGTATTCGGGACGTCAATACAAAAAAACCTGGAATTCTAGATCAGTCTTGCGCACGTTTTTAGTAATTCTGTTGCACCTGTACACACGAAAGTTTGGAAAAGAAGGGAACAATTCAGCATCTCATATGTCGGGATTCATCCATGTTTCAGTAAGAACAACGAAGTCGGCGTTACATGTTTGAATCAAGGAATTCACATAATTCCTCTTTGGGATAAGGCTTCTAATGTTAGTAAAGAAAATATAATTAATAGAAGATATCGAATTGATAATATGGGGATTCGCAGTTTGATTGTGAGTGGGCCAACGGGAAAAACACCGGCATTGCTACGTGCATCTTTCAGTAGCCGAGCCAATAGCGTCATTGAATACAAAACACTTGCCATCTATAAACAGTTTATCGTGACGCAGCTGAAAAGGCGTTCCCTTTGGTCTGGCAAAATCAAAAGACGACGGCGTGCAAGCCTTGCGGAAAGTGGAAAATCTTCGCTAATTACAACGCGTGAGCCCTTAAGCTTGTGCGCAGAACCAAGAATGCCCTCTTTTTCTTCGGACGATGAAAACTTGACAATGATGGGATGCCTTTTCTGCGGATGGAATGCTTCTAAACGGGGAGCTCTTTTAATTCCGGAAGGTACGAATTTGATACCAAGTTTCTCGCCTACTTATCGTCGCGATCAGTCGGCTAATTAACAAAGACATGTTTCTCTTAATTTCTTAATAAACCACTGCTGCCAAAGCGGTGACGCGCCGGAGCGAGCGTTTGGTTCCTTATCATTCGCCTTTTTCCCTGCTAGCGTTGTGCCTGTTGAACCAGCGGTACATTTAACGTAGTGCTGAGTTTCTGAACGGTGCCAAGCAAGTTTGAATCCTATGTTTACATTCAATAAAAAAATAGCTAAAACGTTTATTTAATCATGCGACTTATCGTGGCGATCAGCCCACTATTTTATATCTCTGGCCGTCCAATACCCTCGCACGCACCACGTTAGTGTATCCTTCCGGATTTTTAAAAACAAATCTAATTCCTAAAAATAAAAACAAAAACACTCTTAGCTCCAGGGCAGTGAACAGGAGGCGCTTCAGTCGGCTGCTAGTCAGCGCGGCTGGTGGCCAAAAAGGGCAACTTTGGGAAGGCAAAGTCACCTAGCAGTTGGACACGAGCGCTGCCTCGCAGTTCGGAACAGCGCTCGGAGGTTCACGCTCAAGATCGGGTCCAATGATCGATGCCGTGGGTCGTCTCACAGTTGCGAAAATTCGCATTAACAAATCATCACTTGTGGGTATAATATAATGAAAACATGTCCTATCTCATCCTTTTTATTGCGCGCACCACTAAAATATTATGATTTTCCTACATACCAGCACCAAACCCACTGCAAAAAAAAAAAAGGTCAGACTTGGAAACTACAAGTCCTTCTTTGTGATCGTTTATTCTAAAAAAAAGTCGTGCGTCTACTTCGCCACAAAACACTCAGATAGCCGATCACCGCAACTTACAAAGGCAGCTTAGCGAATGACGATACCGAAACATGTTTAGGCCAAAAAACGCAGTCTGAGTTGTGACATTAAGCTATGCAATAGTGACGTTTGGCATTGCTTAATGACACAACTCAGATCGCATTTTGTGGTCTGAACATATGTTTCGGCAGCGTCATTCGCTAAGCTGCCCCCGTAAATTGCGGTGACTGGCTCTCTGAGTGTTGCGCGGGAAGGTAGACGCACGGGCTTTTTTTTAGAGTTGGATTCGTTGTTCAGTTTGAAGGTGGGGGACAAGAAAAGAAGAAATAAATATTATTTTTTTTTGTATCTTTTAAGTGACCAATATTTGAGATATAAGGGTGTGTTCCATATCAGGTAACCTGTTCTCTTGTTGTAACTGTAGGTCTCTTTGTGGAAGTTCATTGATGGCTGTAGTCTGCCTTAGATTTTTGGGTGTCTGAGGATTCGTGGAAGCAAAGAAAGTAGCCGAAATTCAATCGTCCCTCTTTATGTGTCTTTTCCTTCGAATAAAACTTGTGCTTTTAGTACCGCAGTCTTGGGCACTAAAAAAATAAAAATAATGAGTGTTCATTAGCTCTCCTGCACCCGACTGTTACAAAGCGAGGACAACACAAAATAAACCCTAAGATAGGTAACCAAAATTTTAACAAGATCATATTCTTCGTATATATATTGTTTTTATACTTTTAGAATTTCCGCTTAGAAATAAAACACAAAATACCACACTGGACGAAAAAAAATGACCGCATCTCCACGTGGTGAATGATGTTGACTGGGGCGAATCTCCGGTGGTGCTTGCCTGCGGAGACGGCGAGCCGCAGCATGCCGTGCCTTTCGTTCGTTTTCATCCATGTCAGAAAGAGAATGTGTGGTATGGATCGTGATTATATACGCATTTGAGCATTTGACCGCAGCGCCCTCTCCTGTATAGGCGTTGAGCGGCTACATGTAACATTTTATCCATGACATCCCCAGCTCTTGAGTTACTACCACATCACAGAGCCCCCTACTCGTCCCGCAGTCGTGGCCGAGTGAATAAGGCGATGGACTAGAAATCCATTGGGGTCTCCCAGCACAGGTTCGAATCCTGTCGACAGCGCAAACATTTTTTTTATCTTTTCTTTTTTTTGCCCTGCACGAGCTCACGAGCACGAGCACCAGCAAGATGGATGTGAGCACGGACCCCGGACGGACAAGGCTAGACCCTAAAGGGGTATACACACGAGGGAGAAATCCCGGGGATTTCTCCACGGCACGCACATCGTGCGACAAAAACGTCAGGCTTTGCGATGGGCAAAAGCCTCGCTTTTTCATGTCGTGATGCGCGCGTGCCCGGGGAGAAATCCCCGGGATTTCTCCCTCGTGTGAATACCACGTTTTCGTAGTGGGATGCGCGTGCCGGGGAGAAATCCCCGGGATTTCTCCCTTTTAAGGAGCTTCGCCCCTGAAAAAGGAACGCCGTTCCTTTTTCCGTTCCAGTAGAAATGTAACGAGTTTCCGTTCCAGTTCCACCGTTGCAAAATGGAACGGCGGCGTTCCTGGAACGCCGTTCCGTACAACACCGCTGTAGACTGTGGAATTGTCTCCAGCCCTCCTCTTTTTTTTTTTTTTGTCATCTCACATGCTGTCTATGATGATTTAATCCCACCCTCTTCAGTTCAGTTCTGCAAGTCTAAGCCAAATTTCCGAAGAACGCAATCTTCGTTGTTCTGTGCCTTCGTTACGTAAACATAAACATTGCTATGTAAAATCCCGTTGTAAATATAGGAATATGGAATCCGCATAGTTTTTCCTGTTGGTATTATCCTGAAGTCTCAGTGGCACGGAAATAAAGTCAACTTATCATGATTACATTTATGTATCTTCGAATGAACAAGGAAATACGTCCTTGAGTAAACATAAATACGAGTTTTTTTTTGTTTGTTTTTTCAGATGTCTAAACAAGAGGAAGCGAGGAATGAAAACGCGAAGCTGGTAAAAAGAATACAAGAACTGGAGAACCGTCAGGTACAAGCAAACACATTTAAGTAGAATAATATTGAAATGTTTCTTCTTTTTTTAAGCTTCCTTTAATTCGGAAGAACAACTTACTTTGCATGTGGTGAAAGGTGCTTACGAAACTAATTTCAGCTTGAGGCAGATCAATATCGCATTGACCTTGAAGACGACGTTAAGGTCCACAGGACTGTGCTGCAGGTAGGTTCAAAATTTGACTTGGGAACTTCAAACACTCCACAGAATTTGCCATAGAAACTATAAAGCGCACACCCAGCTCGACGCGCGTGGAGCGATAGTTCGCGCTGCAGAACCCAGGGATCCTGGGCTCGAGCCCCACCCCTGCCCGTTTCGATCTGGATGAGCATCGTACCGGCGTGCGGTCGTGTATCACTACTGCGTGGTGCACGTTAAAGACCCCAGGCTAGCAGTTGTACTGCACTGGCTAAATTGCTCAAATACAGCTGACCAACTACACACTGTATAAATATCCCCACAACCCCAATAAAATAGAAACTAAAAATAATAGACACCATGACACCCTGTAGAAATGTTTTTTTTTGTTGGTCAAGTTATGCCAAAAATCGTCGTTATAAATTACGTTTACATTCATGTCTTCGTTGGGAAGATGACTTAGCCACACGCAATTATGACGGGTGCAGGCGATACCACCTAAGAAACACAATTATGACGGGGCATTCACCCACACCCTCCATGGCCACCCAAGCATAATTTATTTACTAATTAATGCAACCTCTTTGAGGTTTCAGCATGATGAACACTTTGCTGAAGCAAAGTAGACAGCAGTCTTATCAAAATGTTAACATGACATAAATGAAGACACCCTTCAAACTTGAATCCCTATGACCTAGAAGAAGAAAAAAAGAAAAGACGTAGGTAGGTAAGGTGCTATCTTCTAAAGCAAAACATCTGAAAACACTCGTTGTGTCCTCAGCTCGGGTGAGGGGCACTTCTTTACATGATTGCCCATCAATGCCCGAATAAAGGGTCGTTCCCACTACAGTTGAGACTAAAGCCAAAGCTACAAGCGCCATACTCCGTTCACCACTTGCAGCTCAGCCTTCAACGCGGGCTGGCTGGCGTCCGCGAAGCTTTGGTTGCGTGTGCCCGCGTGTTCACACTTGTTTGAGCAAGGGCAGAAAGCTCGCGTTGAAGGCGGAGCTTCTAGTCTCAGCTTAAGGGTGAACGGAGTATTCGCGGCGAAAAGTTTGGGCATCGCCGCCTGGTGGAATTTGTTCACAACCCAGTGTGAGGATACTTCAATTTCCTCTCCTAGTGCAAGTACGTACAATTCCAAGCTTCTATGCACTATGAAAATTAAAACATAACCTCGGGGGTAGCACGTGCACTACCCGCAATGTGGCAGAGCCATTTATTGGGAGAGTTTAACCATACATTGGTTTGAATAGGCGAGCATTTTGGGGCTAATTATAGGACTCGAAACAGCCTTTAGAGGTGGTCGTGAGCTATACATGTGTGACACGACTAATTTAAACCGTTTTCGCGTTGCTAGAGTGAAAAGGTATAACTCTCGGTCACTGAAAACTTGGCGCATACGAGCTTTTCGTCACGTCCATATTCAACGGCAGAATGAACGAACGTGCGCCCCAGACACAGGGCCAACTTGCTAGGAACAGCGACTGAGCTGAGACTGGGGAGAAGAAAGCACTGCCAACGCCAGCGCACGCACTGAGCGGTGATCATTACACCTCTCGAGACACACGCGCGCTCCAGCCTTTAGACTGTTTTCTTTCAGTCAATCTCAGCCACGGTGGTCTCAGCTAAGATGCGGTTCTACCAAGCCGGTCCAGAGCAAACTCTAAACGAAACGCCGAGATAGAACGCTTCAATTTCACGCTTTAAATGCAGTTTTCAATACTGTGACGTCGCGGTCTGCTGATTGGTCGACGCTGTGTTGCCCTTCTATAGTTTACGCTCTAACCACGGGGGCAGTATTCAGCGCTGGCGGCGACCTTTGCGCCACCCATAGGCCAAACTCTCCCAATATACGGCTCTGCAGTGTGGAAATCAGACTTGCCCCTAGCGAGCTTCTCACCTCGAATAGCTTGCCCGCGAGATCAGTTCTTTGAAACGTTCTTCTGCAGAACGAGCTCTTGCACTGGAAAGGGACATCTCAAAGCCAGTCGCGTGGGCTAGTTTGCGTTTCTAGCCTTAACTGCAGTCTCAGCATGAGAGCTTAAGGAGTACAGGCCGTTGCAAGCATGGCGTTAAAGCCAGTGCCCCTTCCGTGAAAGCACATGTGCCAAGCACATGCACATGCGTCACGCGCATGTGAAAGCACATGCGCGTGACGGCACCTTTCCCTGGCTCGCGATTGTGAATGCTTTCTCGCTCAAGTAAAGAGATGACCGTGGCCAGGTTCCCTTCTTGCAATCGTCTGAAGCTCTCGTCAGCATCGCTGAGAACGTCTTAGCAGCGTTTCATAACTAGCACGACGCTGTCAGGCGGCGACGCCAAGACGGGCGCGTTGCACGCTGCAGCGACTGTCGAAGAGCTTCGGCATGTTGTCCGCTTTCGGCGGGCTAGGGATCCACAAATGATCACGTCACGTATGCGCCTTGCATAGGTTATGCATAGGACTTCAGCAGAAACGAAGTATAGGGGAGATAGGTGGAGGTGGAGCTCTTTCGTTTCTCTGGTCGGGCCATGTGCGCTGGGGCCTTGGTGCTGCTTTGGCTGGACGAACTCGGGACCGTTCCATGGAGTGCTCTCGCTCCTGGTTGGATTGGCCGGGGTGATATATGGCATAACACCCTCTGAACTTCGACGATTCTTCTACACACATGGTACATTAACTTAAGAGCCGATTGATAATTATCCCTCTATCTCCTCTAGACAACTATACCCCCTTCATTGGTGATATACCATATACCTTCCGTCGTCCGTTCAGCTTTTATTCGTTTTATACTATGATAAAAGCTATATATGCACAGACACAATGGTAGTATGAAGTTATGCTATGTATGACGGATTGTGTTAGAATAATTCGCCCTGAATATACTCGGTTGCTTTTTCGCGTTCAATTCCAGATCGCTCCCTGGCCCCACCCCCTCCCCTTTGCTCTCATTCACACATACACAAACACACACACATACACCGGGTCGCGTAGATGGTTGAGCGTGTTGGTTAGTAATTTACGATAAGGAAAGAGGGATAGTTAAGACAAACAGACAAGACAGTGACCAATATATTCAGCAAAAAGCAAAAACTCTTGGCTGCCACAAAGTCTTTCTTGGGTCGTCTTTCCCGTTTTTTTTCCAGCTTATATAACCCAATCTATTTCAATTAAATATTGAAACTTTTGGTGATGGCGCGGTGATAAAGTATGACATATGTTTACGTAGCTTCTCTTTTTCCTTTCTCACCAGAACCTAGAAGATAAAGTCGGACGCATCTCAAGGGAAGCAGTCACCCGAAGGAGAGTGGACACGCTCAACGAACGAGTCGAAACGTACCTTGGTCCTTTGGAACGGCTGCTGAACGGCCTGCGTGATGTGGACAAAGAATGAATGGCACTCCCCCAGTTGTCTCCGATTTTGCCTGTATCGAACTGCTGTCTTTCGAGCATTCTATCACCAACAATTCTGTCGACTGCATGCGAGTGGCCAGAATGCTATGATTATACTTGTAGCTTTCAAAAGGTCACGTTTTCAGGCGTTAAATAAAATGAGTAGTTTCCAGATATATACATTCTTCGTGCTTCATGACGTGGCTTGCGGATTCTTATTTTGTTCAGAAATCCGGAGTATTTTTTGTGACGACAACCTTAAAGATGTTTTTTTTTTTTGTGAATTTGCTATCTTCGGGTTAGCACCGTAAACATTACTGAATTTTTTTTTATATCCCACCCTATTTAAGACAACGGTATACATAGCGTTTACTACATGATTGCCTCTTTTCATGTGACTGCAAAATATAAGTTTTAAACTCCGTAAGGTTAGTTCTGAATTTGTCCGAAACTCATTAAGGGCATTAGATTTTTATAGAAAACTATAGACAATTCCCATCCTTGCCATCTCCAAACCGCCATATTTTTTTGCTTGGCCGTGGAACGCATTCTAAGAATGTGGCGATTTTTTTTCTTTGGAATTTAAGTGGGTGCGCATGTCACATTCGATGTGCCGCAATTCTGATATTGCTTGAAATATATAGGTTCTCTCATCTTATAATTAACTCGAAGTCGTAGTGTGAATACGACTAGCCAACAGTATGTTGTCCACGTCATTATCTTAGTGACATGTCATTACACTACGACTGCGTAAACTAGGAAATCAGGTGCGAGCCTGATACCAGGCGCCCGTCGACACATTGGTTGAACGCGTGTGCCAGCCAGTGTTGGCGGTGACGCGTTAGCTGTAAAGGCGTTACCGGTTACGGTTTGATTTCCTTTAACGTAGTAACTTACAGGTTAAATTTTTTATGAACAGTAACGGATGAATAACTTGCGTTACCGAATTCAAGGAATTGGTATCGGTGTTACGTAACTAATATCTCCCCCTCCCCCCCTCCAAAAAAAAAAAGCCATTACATTTGAAAACGTTTTTGTGTTTCTAAGTGCCAAGTTATAAGAATTCTGGCGTATTTACCTTTTTATTTCGCGCTATTTTTTCCGTGCATTCAGGTGGAACCTTGAACAAGAAAGGGTAATTATATACAATTCTTCATGAACATCAAGGCCTGTTCACACATAATTAGCAGCAAGATGTTTTGGTGGCGCCCTCGTTTGGTTACCTTTCGTGACGTCATTACCTTGCGAACTACAAGTTCGATGGTGTTTGTAGTTAGCATGGTTGAAGCCTGAAATCATTGCGCTCCGAAACCAACACTGCCAACACCGCCAAAATTAAAGTTCTTCCATTCCTCTTATTTCCGTCAATGAGAAATCTTTTGCTGACGTCAAAGTCATCATTCGGTCAATCGTGGAAGACAGACCACAGCGACGCTTTCAGTCACGCACGTCGCCAATAAGCACAGCGCGGACTGCGCTAAACGCGTGATAACGGGAGCGTTCACCAGATTTTTATCGCACCATCAAAATGGTTCCTCATAGCAGACGATGAGTAGCCGACGGCACGTGCTACTACTACTAACAGCGCTATTGGCGAGGTGCGCGATCGAAAGCGTCGCTGTGATCGGCCTCCCACTATTGGCGGGATGCGGAGTATGACGTCAGCAAAGGATTTCTTCGACGAAAATTAGAGGAATTGAAGAACGTTTATTTTGTCGGTGTTGGCAGTGTTGGTTTCAGAACGCTATGGATTTCAAGCTCCCACCATGCTCATTATAAACACCATTGAACTTGTAGTTCGCAAGGTGATGACGTCACGAGACGTAAACATACGAGGGCGCCACCAAAACCTCTCGCCGCTAAAATCAGCGTTCCACTGGATGTGGAAACCGGCCTTTCTTGAAATACGGAGATTAGGAATACTTCTAACGTCAAGAGTAAAAAGTTTAAATTCAGAGATAAAAATGACCACGAAAAGTAAACTCGCCAACTTTAGCACAACCTAGGTTTATAACGCGTTCCGTTTATTTGCAAGTTCCGAATAACGTATTTCTTTATTTTTCTTCGGTAAAGCGCCTACGACACTAGTGCCAGCAGAACTTTTACTCAGCGCTGATGTCCGATTTGTGCCGGCACTCCGTCGTGGTGTGATGACGTCACACTACGTTCACGGTCCTTTCTAGACTGACTCTGTTCTGTTTAGAAAAGCCGTGCAATAAAAAAAACAGTGCAATGAAAAAACATTTTTCAAGCTTATTTTGGTCTTCTATTTGTTTTTAATAATTTTGCCATGAAGAATGTTTTTCGCGAAATATTTGCATTATTAGACGCAATCTAGGTCGAGGTCATGCAAGTCATGGCGGCCGCTCTAAGTCCTGCCCACAAATCAGTGACCCCACACATTACTACTGGACAGACCATGCTTTTTGACCGAGCACTCTCACAACGTTTACAAGCCTAGTGTCTCCCCTTCGGGACATCCGATTCGTCTGCTCTGGCGTCGGATACTGCCCGCTAGTCGTGTGAGCAGACGCGCGGCGGCCTCCAGCATCGTTTGCTATTTCACCACCGTCTATCGTCGTCTGCAATGCCCGTAATACGCGGACACGAAAGCTGAGCTTCGGCGTGCGTTTTGGCCTCCATCCGTCTGTTATTCCGCCCCCGTCTAAAAGACTTCTGCAACTCCCAGAAGACTCGACCACGAAAGCGCCGTTCTAGCGTTTCATCGTGCACGAGCCAAGATTCAATGTGGAGAGCAAGTCGCCTGCTTCTTGCGCAGGTGTTGCGGTGAGGTCAGAACGACGCTGGAGCTCTGATTGGCTTTCAAAGGGAGGATAGCGGGTGGACCTCAATGCTAGATGCCTTGAGGTCTATCCACAATTGTTTCAAACAGCCAATAAAAGCTCGGCGTTCTGACATCATCGCAACCCCTGTGCAACTAGTAGACGAACTTGCGCTCCAGATACAAGCGTATGTCAGCGTCTATCGATGTGCAGTAATAAGCAACCGAAAGGACTAAAAACAACAACAAAGTAAATATGCAGTCCTTCCAGCTTTATTGTTCTTGTGTGTGTGTGTGTGTGTGTTTTTCTTGCATTGCATTCTTGAGCAAGGTGGGTAAACGTCATGACGCACATTTAAAACCCAACGTAAAATTATTCACTTTGGTAGGCCAGGTGCGCTGCAAAACTTGAGATCTACTTGCTTTCCGATGGGAAATGACTGCAACATAAACAAACTAACGCCCGATTGCCTCTAGCCAAAGTGCTCGAAAATTCTCACCCGTGAAGGTAGGTATCTTCTCGGTATTGAACCATGGTTAAAATCACAACGGTTGCTCAATACCCAGAGTAGCGGGGCCGTTTTTACGGGAACCAATGCGGCCCTGTCTTTGAGGCGTCGCAGGGGCGGGACGTGCGAGTGCGGTGCCGGTTGGGGGGCCTCTTTGCGCGAGTGATTGCGCGGACGGGCGCTTTGCCGAGCGGCGGGTGCGTGCCCGGGCCTTAGGCACGGGGTTGGCTAGCTTGAAAGCCTGTATATACTGTACATAGCGCGTTTTCGGGTTTTGGCTTTGTTCTGGGCATGACACCACTGTTGTAAATAAAATTTTCTAAACACATCTTCATTTATCATCATCACGGTTGAAGAGAGAAATCAAGCCAGACAGATGCAAGTTGTTGATCTGGGACGCTAGGCTTAGACAACTCCCGCTACGAAAACAAGCATCCGTAGCACTTGAACTTGCGGCAGTCGTTTGTTGCAAACTACGTCGGTTGAGGAGATCTTCCTCTAAACAGCTCCGTGAACTTAAAACCACTCGCACTCATAAAAATCGACGAGCTCAGCGAGCTTCGCTCGTACAGCCCTCTGCAGACGCCGGCAGTCACGTTTGTTAACGTTCCAAACAAAAGCTGGAGAAGTAATCTCAAAATACATTTGAAAAGAACAATGTCTCTATCTTGATTATTTGCTTCTCAAGCATTAAAGAAGAGTCGAATAAAATACCATTACGGCACGGAGATACAAATTTACAACCAACCTTTCACACGTCAATCATCGCTCCAGCCAATCAGAGATACAAGTAATTTGTAAGCACGAGGCAGGGATTATTGGGCTGCGACCTCCTCCTTCTGCACCTAAATTGCGTCCAAGAGAAAAAATATTGAGCGAAAAATCTTTTTTTCGTGGAAAAATTGTTTTAAAAATGACATGTCCCATTTTTTGCCCCTTAAATCCCCTTTTTTTTTTGGTGGCCATTTAATATGAAACAAAGCGTAAGCGGTGTTTTTTTAGCTTAATTACTAACGTGCAGTGGAGGTATCGCCGAGGTTTCACCAAATCCGTCAAACGAGCCGGCCTGTCACACTACGCTTGTAGTGTGACAGGTTGGTTATACAAAATGAGTCAAAGAAATCTTTAGCCCTTTAATGGCACCGGATAAATCGGTGGTCTAAAGCCGGGGTCACACTTCTCATACACCATACAAACGACAGTCTGCAAACACAAGTCGACGCAATATCCGTGGTCCGAATGCCCCGTGCCAAAAGTTTCTCCCTGAACTCATTAATTGCCATGCGGCATTCGAAGTACTGATATCGCGGTGACTCGCGTTCGAATTTGTATGCAGACTGTGTTTTCTATGATGTATAATCAGTGTGACCTCGGCTGAACATAGCGTGCTTAGACTTTTTGAAAAGGGTACCAAAGATTGTTCCTTTCGAAGGATGAACTTACCTGAGTAAATAATACAAAGTAACGACGCAGATTACCCAACCTTGGACCTCCGTCTGCTAACAAAAGACTTCTTATTGGCGCAACAGCAGAGTGATGGTGGCATGTAAGATTAGGGGCGTGGTGGGGGAGGTCTGTAAAAAGATGACGTGACGGGCCAAGCGTTGCACAAATTTGTTTTGTTTACCTAATTTCTGCCATGTCACCAAAAACTAAACATTCCTACATTTCTTTTTAAAACTGCTGTTGTATGGCGTTCTTTCCATTAGGAACGGGACGTCGAAGAGCTTAGGGGAGCACTCGCGTCCCGCACCCGCACCCCCCCCCCCCCCCCCCCCCCCCCCCATTCCCCACTTTTCAATCTGTGCATGGTCAAAGCCCGCTCAAAAACACACGAAGAAAAAAAAAAAAATGTCATAAATCGCGCTCCTTTTCGAACGCTCTCTTCGCAATTTGATTCAGCTTTAATCTTTTCATAGTTGTGTGATGCCAGTTCCAACGGATACGATTATCACGTTGCCATGGGCGACGGCACCCTGCTGCGAGAATGCCGCGGTTATCTGAACGAGGAACCGGGATACGTCTGCGAACCGAACGAGTCCGTCGGACTTTGGTTGCTCTCGTCGCGCATCGCAAACAAGATGGCGGACGGGACGCCGCAGGCCGAGTAAGCTGCTGTCTTTTTCGTACTACATACCTTGAGCGTTTAATCCCCAGCCTTTAGATGATTCCCAAGGCGCCGACTGTGGCAGCTATTTGACGTCTTGGCGAAGTTAGGTGAATTTTGAGCGAAACTTGGTCTTCTTTCCGTAGATTCGTTCGAACGTAGTATGCGGTACAGCCGGGCGGTAAATTTTATGGCGGTGGAGGGTGTGCCAGACGGGTGTAGCACGATTGCCCCACTTTCAAATTCCTGTCACAAAAGCCCCGTGTTTTTAGCCCCAGGTTTAAAAATACCCCGGGTTAAATTACTGTCACGCCTCGATAAGGCGCTGATCTACCGGTCGGTCGGTGTTCGCGCGACGTTAAGGACTCTTAGCAAACCGTTATCGTACTACCGGTACCGTAAGCCCGACTGCGAATGTGCGACTCGTAACGACGTCACGAGTCTGAAACGCGGTACCGCGGTCACCTGATCGTGATAGCGCGGCCCTTTGTTCAACATGGCGACGTCCACGCACCACCACTGCAAACGTTGGCGACACATGAGAGCTTTTGAATTTTAAAGCATTTTATAGCCAGTGCATTGATCGCGCGCCTGTTGTTTTCCGCTGCGCTTTGGCTACTTTGGCTGTGACTACTGGAGTGAGCGTTTTGTTGTTTATTGCCCAAAGAGCAGCGTAAGCACTCTTTTGCTTTCAAGAGGAGAAAGGAGGCGGTGTAGGCGGAGCTTCACTGCGCTCTTCGCCTTTTACCGCGACTATAATGTTCGTTCTGTGCACCATAATGAGAGCAAGACCTGTAAACGAGACAAAATGTTTTTCTATATATTCTGCTTCAATACTTAGTGATGACTTTACAAAACACTTGTCTTTCTTTTGATAAAAAGGATCAATATACTCGTGTTTGGTAGAGTTGTGCCTGACCCCGGCCGACTAGGGTGAGCTTAAGCGAGGTTAAGGCTGCCCGTGTAACTAGGGCAGCCTTAACCTCAGTTACTACAGAAAGCCAAGCTGATTTCATTTTTTATTTCAGTGAAAAGCACGATACTGGTGCTTCCCACTCGGGGGCAGCTTTTCATGGCATATCAGATGAATTAGAGGGCAGCGTATAGATGTGATCGGTGCCCATGGGTGCGCGAGCACAATTACGCCCGTAGCTTTGACTGCACTGCCAAGAGACGCTGTCTCTGAGTATCGGGAACCAGTTCATTCCAGTCCTTAGTGTTATCCACGAACGGCTTTGTTTCATTATTATTGAAATTTATTGCGCCACCATTGTTATAGAGTATTTTAGTGCCGTCAACAAACTGTCTCCAGCGTATCCTTCAGTGAAGCTCCGATACTACAATACGAGTGACCAGTATGCTACAATAAATGCTTGCCGGATTTGAACGGTACGTCGTCGCGCGTGCGCAGTCGGGCCCACGGTAACGGTAAATCGGTAACGGTTTGATAAAAGTTCATATTGTTAAAAAAATTCTGGAGGCTGTACAAGTAGCCGATTGCATAAATCTGAATCACCAGCAGTGCACTACAGCAAAGGGGAGCTCACACGCAGAATTACATTTTATCTACCTGGATGGATGCAAATCTTTCTTTTTAAAACGACGTAAGAAGAATGTAACTGGTGTTTGGTGCTGTGATAATTATGGCGCCATGAGCTGTAGGTTAACACTTTTGACAATACCCACTTGGTCGGATCTGTGAATCTGCGCGTGCTTCCAAAGTCGACGAAAGCTTTCGTTCAATTCCTATCGATAAAAGCCTTCACTTCAAATGTTTTGCCATGTGACTAATATTTTCTGCTTATGTTTTTTTCTAATGTCGCAAGACGTGAATACGTTTAGCGGACGCCTGAAAAACGAGAGGCTTTATCCACTTATTCCTTACTTGAGGCCCGGGCACTGTACGATTACGTGACACAACGTCGCGTGCACACTTACTGTAGAATGCTCTGCGGTCAGATTGAGGACCCGGCCACCTGACACGGGCGACTTGCGTTATGGTCTTTTGAAACTGAGGCTTTTGCAAAAGGGAAAAAAGAGGTCGGGGCGTTTTCCGCGGGGCATTTAGCACGGGGTTTTTGACATCGGGTGCTTTTGTGCACCACCTTTTGCCGGGCATCCTTCGTTGGTTTTGCAAATAAAAACCCCCAATCTTGAGTTTGGTGGACGGTGATGGTTTTAATGTAATAATTGAAGAATATATCTACCTGGAGTGAATTTTCGTTCTGCTTTATGCTTAAAGTTACTGCCAGGTTAAAACGATATGAAGGAGTAAATCTAACTCGCGTAGTATAAACGCAAATTAGTGCTCAGTGCGAGTAAGGGAATTTATGTACCATCGTGGACACAATTTGCTGTAACATGGCAGCCGTGGCCGTTCCGTACTCCCATCGCCACATAGCAGGGCGTTCTGAATGTCCGCACCTACACCGCCTACCCTGTGCGGTGAAAGTGCCCTAGTTGGCAGTTACTCTCTCGACGTCGGCTAGGCGCAAAGCAGACGCCACCTCAGCACTTGCGATATTTCCTTCCCTGGCTTTTGTGGGTGCCCTTTTCGGTACGGAGATTCTCTGACTCATGGAAATGAGCGACACAAACAACAGACAAAGGAGGCATAGCTAAGACTAATCATTGCCGATGATCGTATTTAATACTGGGGAATGTTGGGCGAGTTGGTGGAACAGTCTCCTACAACATGAAAGACCCACTTGGAGCGCGTGGTCAAGACGGCGGGGAGCGGGGTTGCTCTGCGCTCTTCAGGAGATTCCGTTTGCTTCGAGGGGAGGACACTCACACGGAGCTCAACCGGGCCTGAACACGCTTAACAGTTTTTTGGTTTCAGCTTAACGGAGGAACAAGCTAGATCGGCGCCATGCCCAGAGATATGGTAACGAAGTCTTGAAACAAGCTAGTCATCCCTGGGTTTAATCAGTTTTTTCTCATGTAAAATGTGAGAGCAGGCACCGCCAAATAAACGAGTTTAAACCTGACTCCTATATATAAAAATATAAAATTCGTTGTAAATCGCATTCATTGGCTAGGGTGGCACGAATCTCGTCTTTAACCAAATCAAAATAATGGTCTTGACTCAGGCTAGTGTCACTGGCTTAGGAAGGTCTTTCTCAGAGAGTAATAGACTTGTTCCAAAACTCAATGTGCCTCATCGTGGCGTTATGCCACATTATGTATTGTGTCAATCAGTGGGAAGCAAAATCCGTACGCGCTGCCCTCCTGGCACACAGGTTCCCATAATGTAAAGCGCGCGGTGACAGATTTATGGGAGCAGTCTATTGCGGCGTTAGTAGGACATAGAGACGATTTAAACACGCGCCAGATTGAGCCGCCATTGCCGACCTTCACTTATCTTTCCGAGATGCCAAGCCACTAAAGCGAGCGTTGACGAGCCTCCAGAAAGGCGCCTATGCTGGGGACAAGGACACAGTAGCACCTAGAGTGTCAATGACCTGTCCTGCTGTGGCAATGATGAAGTGAGGCGAATGGAATAACAGGAAACAAAAATTGAAGGGTCGGTTATGGCGGCGCCCATGCACAGCTGCCTTAAAGCGTCTATTGGCGATTGCAAGCAAGGCGACTGGCCGCCGCCATGTCGCCGCTCGTGCGGAGAAGCCCGTGCAACTGCAAGCTTGCAAAGTTATGCACAAGCGTAAGCTGCCTTGCACGCATGGGACTCAAGTAAGGTGCTATGTTGGCAATTGTCTATTGGCGACGTGCGCGACCGAAAGCGTCGCTGTGGTCGGCCTTCCACGATTGGCCGAACGGTGACTATGACGTCAGAAAAGGATTTATCATCGACGGAAATAAGAGGAATGAAAGAACTTTAATTTTGACGGTGTTGTCAGATTTTCTTTGAGGGCGCAATGATTTCAAGCTTCCACCATGCTATTTACAAACACCATCGAACTTATTGTCTACAAGGTAATGACGTCACAAGGGGGAACCATAGGAGGGCGCCACCAAAAGCTAGGGCCACGGGGGGAGATGGCTAGTACTGCAGCCAATACAACAAGTACGTGAGCACGAGGTCATAGCTTAGAAACATTCTTCCGCAGAACGAGCGCTCGTACTGGAAAGGCACGTCTGAAAGACGAGAGTGTGGGCTAGCTCGCGCTTCTAGCTTTGGCTGCATACTCAGATTAAGGTTGAACGGAGTATAGACGATTGCAAGCTGGGCGACTGGCCGCCGCCATGTTTCTGCTCGAGCAGGCACGCCCGTGCGATTACGAGCTTGCCAAAGCTACGTTCACCCGCGCGTTGCACGCGCTTGCACGCATGGGGCACCACTTGTGGCGCCATGCTTGCAATTGTCTATAGACCTTCCCAAAGGGCTCCTGGCCGGTTCCATTTTCAATGTTCATGCGTCTGTCGTGTGATTTGCTCGCTTTCAGAAGTCGCGAACATGCGCGTGCTGGGCCGAGGAGATCGCGCGCTGCGCTGAGGGCATGTAAATATTGGAATGGTATATAATCGTACCATGACGCTGACAAACGGCTCTCCGCCAACATTACTAGATTACATCAGTTGCGATGTTCCTGTGGACGGGGGTACCGCCCTCACTCACTTTAGTCCGCTTCCCGTCGTTTCATAACTGCTTTTTTATAGAGTACGGTGGAACGCCATCATCACGCTGTGCTTCGAAACGTACGTATATCAAAGAATACGCTGTAGTTACCATAGCAGCTGTCCGGCGTGTCGAACGACGGGAATCGAGCTAGGATGAGAGTTGGGGGTACTGCTCGTTCTTGAAGCCTCCATGAGCAGATCCGAAACTGAACTAATCAATCAATCAATCAATCAAGCAATCATTTAATCAATACTTTATTTTCTTTTACAAAAAGATGGCAGCCGGGCCAAAAAGCTGCAACAAGTGCAGCTTGACGCTGCCCCAGCGCCAAAATGGCAGTTAACATTTGACTCCAGTTAAACATGCACTAATACACAGCAAATCAAGCAAAATAAATATGTACACAAAGGCGTACTTT